TCTTGAAAAACAAAACAAACAAACAAAAAAAAAAGAAAAAAAAAAAAAAAGGAAAGGAAAATAAAAAGAAAGAAAAGAAAAGAAAAACAAGAAAAACAAGTCTCTCTAAGTAACTGTGAAAATCAAAATCCTGGCAGCCACTAGAGGGGGCAGAATGGGCTTGGAGCCTCCCTAAAGCCCTATGTTCTTCAACCTACTTGGCTGTCCCCTTTAAGTCTCATTCATGAAAAACCCATTCATGCCATGGCTTGTGCATAAGATCCTATCAATTTATTGGTAGGACTTGGGAATTAGAGGCCAGCCTGGGACATATAATAAAATCCTGTCTCAAAATAAGTAAAATAATATAAACAAATAAACAAATAAATTAGCTACCTTCATAGGGCTAGGCTTTATTGGATCCTACTTGGGGCTCACATGGAGAAAAATTCTATAGTGTTTGCAGAAACCATCAGAAACAAATTGTTCGACCTGCCAGCTGTTAAAGGCAGGAATAAGGATGAGGTTAACCAAAAGACTTAAAGGGAATGAGATAAAAGGGAATAAGGGTCCTTTGAAAAGCTCTGGTGCAACTCTGGGGATCCAGACGTCCACAGACATTCACTAACCTGCACGTCCAGGAGAGACCTGAGAAGACTCAATTTCAGGGACCTTATGGCCAGATGTCACTGTCAGAAAGCAAAGGCAAAGGCAGAGCAGACTGGCAGAGCCCTGAGGAAGGAGAAGAAGCTTATTGGTTCAAGACATACAAGGAATTGCCAGTTCAGTCATTAGTTGACTTCTAAATTAACCAAGCAGAAGCTTCAGTGTGCACACAGGACAAAGAAAATAAATTTTTACAGAACTATTCTATGAAAATTACTAAATAGACAGCCACAACTAGCCAGCAAAGTAGACCATACCTGAAACCCCAGCATTCAGGAGATCAAGGCAAGAGATGAGACACTGTTTTGAAATAAAACAAAAGATGAAACAACAACAAAAACCTACAATAGCCACAGATTCTGATTGTAGAGAGAGCTGTCTAATTTACAAAATTGCCAAATTACATCATTATTATTATTTAATTTTAATGTTTATAAAATGGTATGAAGACCTGAATTCCATCTCTAGATATGAAGGAAAAAATTGATATGGTGGTGAATGCTTATGACCCTAGCATTGGGGAAGCAGAGAGAGCACAGACCACTTGGTGAGCTCCAGAAGCTCATTTTGAAAGAAGAGTTTCACTAAGTTTCCCATGCTGGCCTTGAATCATTCTACAGCCTAGAATGGCTTTGGACTTGTGATCCTCGCCTCAGCATTCTGAGTAGCTGTGATTTTAGGCGTGTACCTCCAGGTCTAGCTCTACAGTCTCAGTTTTACAGGATGAGAAGGTTACAGAGATAGGGCTCCAGGGTGACTGGAATGACCACTAATGATCAGTGTGCTTTAAAGGGTTAAGATGGGGCTAGAAAGATAGCTGGTGCCTAAGTGCACTTGCTGCTCTTGCAGAGGACTCTGCTGGAGTCCCAGTACCCACATATCAATTCACAACCAACTCTCATTCCATTCCAGGGGATCCTATACCCTCTTCTGGCCTCTGAGGGCACTGAAGGCATGTGGTACACACACATATATTTAGGCAAAATCCTCATACACATAAAAAAGGCTGGTAAATATCTGAGTTCAAGGCTAGCCTGCTCTATAGAGTGAATTCCAGGACAGTCAGGGCTACACAGATAAACCCTGTCTCAAAACTCACATTATTAATAATAATAATTAATAATAATAATAATAATAATAATAAGCCGGTGGCACATGCCTTTAATCCCAGCACTCAGGAGGCAGAGGCAGGCAGATCTCTGTGAGTTTGAGGCCAGCCTGGTCTTCAGAGCTAGTTCCAGGACAGGCTCTAAAGCAATACAGAGAAATCCTATCTCGAAACCCCCCCTACCTCCCCCATCCCCCCACCCCCACAAAAATGGATTAATATTATTTTTTACAACAACAATAACAATAAATCCTTAAAAATGGTTAAGATATTATTATCAGACAAAAGACAATTTAAGTTTTTCTGTATACTGGGGAAAATATGTCAGCTTCTACCTGTGTCCACACTCAAACTGACAAATCATTTAAGCCTATGCAGGATGTGCCAGGCTTTTACAGTATAATTCTTAAAATGTTTTGGGAAGCCAATTACAGCTTGTTAAGGCCTAGTGACTCCTGAGAGCTTTTAAAGGGGTGGATTTGTCACTGTGCCCCACTGGCATGATTTACCTCAGCCAGGTTTTTTCTGAGCCAGGATTTACCTCCATCAAACTAGCCTTGTCCTAAGAACCATCTGGAGCATGTACAAACTTCAGATTCCCTTGGAGGTGGGCAGCAGTATAGATACTGGTGGTTGTTGAGTGTGTGAATCCTGGAGTGATTAGATCTATAAGACAAAAGGGGCTGGAGAGAGGCTTCAGCACTTAAGAGCACACTTCCTGTTTTTCTACAGGACTAGAGTTGGGTTCCTTGCACTTGGTTAGGGTGGCTCACAGCTCCAATGGGTCTCATGCCCTCTTGTGGCCTTTGTGGATATCCACATATACATGGCACATACTTATAAGTAAAAACAAAAACACATTTTTTAAGAAGTGAAGAGAGCTAGGCATGGTGGCACAAACATTTAATCCCAGCACTCAAGAGGCAGAGGCAGATGGATCTCTGTGAATATGAGGCCACCCTACAGAGGTCTACAGAGCTAGTTCCAGAACACCCAGGGCTGTTATACAGAGAACCCCTGTCTTGAAACCACAAAAGAAAAAAGAAAAAAAAAAAGAAGTGAAGAGATGAATGAAATGGTAAAGACTAGACTGACTGATTCATAGAGTGCTGAAGAGGGTGGGGTCTCCAAGAGAAGGAAGAACAGAGGCAATGGGTAGGCACATTTTATTTTGTCTTCTCTGTTGGGCTACGGGCAAAGACTGTGGGGACTACCCAGGGTCTGGTCTGTTGCTAGGCTAGGGACAGGCCAGGACATTCCTGTGTGCTCCCAGAAGCCAAGGACATTCAGGTAAGATCTTCCGAGTGGGAAGGATGACAAGGACATTGGGAGACTTGGCAGGTTTGTGTAAAGAAGGGACATATCTCTTTTTAGAAAGATCACTCTTCAGGGGCATCTGCACTCATGTGCACACCCACACACACATATACTTACTTACTTATAATTAAAATAAATCTAAAATCCCTGGACTGGAAATGTAGCTAAGTGTTAGAGCTCTGGTCTAGTATATTCAAGGTCCTGGGGTTCATGACTAATTCTACAGAGAGGAAAATAAAATAAGAAAAACAAAACAAAAACACACACACAAAAAACAAGTGTGATAGCACATATCTACACTCAGGTAGCAGAAGAAGGATCTCTGTGAATTCAAGGCCAGCTTGGTCCATATAGTAAGTTCTAGGCCACTCATGGCTACACAGAAAAAAAAAAAAAAAAGAACAAGGAGGGCTGGAGATGACTCAGCTGATAAGAGTGTTAAGAACACTGGCTGCTCTTGCAGAACACCTGGGTTCAATTCCCAGCACCCACATGGCAGCTCACAACTGTCTCTAACTCCTATTCCACACCCTTACACAGACATATATGCAATCAAACTACCAATGTACATAAAATACAAATAGGTAAATTATTAAAAAAGAAAGAATAAGCAAGAAGGGTGGAAAAGAACGAAGAACTGAGAGAAAGAAAGAGAAAGCAGAGATGGACCATTCTGGCTTCTGTGAGGAAGGTGAGTGATCCTCAAATGTAGAGCCTTGGGAAGTAAGCTGTAGAAAGAGCAGTGTGAGCTGGTGAGGGAGAAGGGGCCTAAAGAAACAGATAGGCAGGAGTGAGCAGAGAAGGGGATCATCATGTTTGCCAGGTACTTTCTTTGACCCTGAGTGTTTCTTTAGTTGGCTCTCATTAAGGGGACATTTATGTAACATATATGTGTGTATGCATGTCTGTATTTTTAAAATCCAAATCTTTAAAAATGCCTCACATTTATTGATTGAATATGCTTGTGTATGTATGTATGTGGGGAGTCAGTTCTTTACTGCTATCACAATACATTCTAGGGACTGAACTCAGGTCATTACATTTGGTGTCAAGTGTCTTTACATGCTAATTCATCTTGTCAGCCCCAAGAGAGACTTTTATATTGTCCCTCAGCGCAATAGGTCATTACTTTGGGGGTGGAGGATTTACCACTATGTAGCCCAGACTGGCCTAAAACCCATAATTCCTCTGCTTCTTCCAATACTGGGATTATAGACATGTATCGCCAAGTGCAGCTGAATTTGTTTTGTATGTGTGTGCTTTCTTTGAGAGGTTAGATAGGGTTTGGTGTATTTGCCCCAGAAGCTGGGCCAGGATAGGGTGCAGGGGCAGAATGGCTTTTAGAAAACAGGGAAGGAAAAGACTGAGGAAGTGAAGCTTAAAAAAAAAAAAAATTCTGTCCATTTCTGTACCCTTTAACCAAACATTATCATGCGGGTTATGTCACTTGATCCTACTGCCAATCTGGAGAACTCCGCAGGGCTGGGTCACCACCTCCCCCAGGGCTAACAGGATTTCTAGGCTGACATGGTGACCCAGCTGACACAGAGTTGAGTGCAGAGAACTTGCTTTGTGACAGGATGAAGGATCTGTGTGTTCCTGGTCCTTTTCAGGGTAGCAAGCAGCCAGGGACCTGAAGACTTTAGCTACAAGTCATAGAGTCTGGAAAGAAGATGAGGGCATGGGGCATCACATCTCTTCTAGCTTGGCAAACCCAGCTCCTTTTATAAACCTCCCGTACCATGGACCAGAGATCTTGTTGATATCTGGTCCAGCATCAGAAGCCTCGGTGCCTGAGTGCTGAAGGAGCAGGGTCTGACCTTATCTTTCACTGTAGGGAAAGAAATTCTGAAGCAGGGAAGGAGTGAGGCACCCCCCCGCCCCCAGATCTAGGTTTCCCTAACAGCTCTGTCTGTGCAGACAAAAAGACATGGCTTGGAAACAGACACCCCTCCTGCTTTTAGTCTGCATGGCAGTGGCTGAGGCAGAGCAAAACAGACCTGTTCAATGTTTATATGGATGCCAAGCACCACAAGGCCCAGAGGACAAGCTGCATGACCAGATTCTGGTGGGAATAGTGTTGCCAGGGAGGAGGAAGTCAGGGTGGGTGTGGTAAGCAGCCAGACACCCCCACATCCTGAGCTATTGCTGCAGGAGATGACGTGGTGGAGTGGGCAAAGTGGTGAGGTGATTTTCTGAGGACTCTCCCCAGAAGAGGACATGGTGGTGGAGAGGATGCAGTGATCTTTAGAGGCCTCTAATTAGAAGCCATGTGATGATAATCTCCATGTCACTCAAATGAGGGCCCATGGAAGCAGAGGGACTCACAGAGGTTAGACACAACCAGCCCTTATGGCAGGGTTAGGCTAGGACTCAGGAGAGTTCTTCTAGAAATTTGGAGGATGAGAGACCATGGACCATTCCCAGATGACCAAATACAGAAGTGGGAAGGCCCTCTATGAGAACCACAGGCGTAAGTACTGCAATTTACATAGTCTATAAGCATTTATGCCAACCAATGGAAACTCAATGTGGTCTTTGTAACAAATAAACAGATCCTCTTTTATATTCTGGAAATAAATCTAAGGTTAAAAACATAAACAAAAACCTGGCAGGTGAGGTGGCACACACCTTTAAATACTCAGGAGGCAAAGATTAGAAGATCTCTATGTGTTCAAGCCCAGCCTGGTCTACAAATTGAGTTCCAGGTGAGCCAGACTACAGAGTGAGATCCTGCCTCAAAAATAAGCAAGCAATAGATAAATAAAAATAAAATTTATTTGTATTTATTTGTTTCATTGTTCCTTGTTAACAGTTCATTTTATTATTGATTGGTGCATCTATTCCAGGAACAATGATATGATATAATAATATATATATATATTTGACCATAGGGCTGGAGAGATGGCTCAGCAGTTAAGCGTCCTTACTGCTATTGTGGAAGACTGAACTGAACTGAAGAGTTCAGTTCCCAGAATGCACATGGCAGCTAATAACTACCTGTAACTCTAGTTCCAGAATACTTGATGCTGTCTTCTGATTTGTTCATTCATACATGTAGGCACACACATATACAATTTTAAAAAATAGTAAAAAGAAACATAAGAACACAGAATATGACAGTTGACCTTTATTACATGTATTTATCTATCTATGTATGTGACACACACACATGCCATAGCACATGTGTGGAGGTCAGAGGACAATTTGCAGGAGTCAGTTCTCTTGACCATGTAGGTCCTGGGGATTGAACTCTGGTCCTTAAGCTTGGTAGCAAGTGTGCCTTTCTTTACTCACTGAGCCATCTCATTGGCCTGTTTTGTTTTTTGGTTCTGTTTTATTTTTAAATGAACAAATGAAAAGACTGGAACTCACTATGCAGGCCAGGCTGGCATTGAACTCATGAAGAGCTGCCTGCTTCTGTCTCTCAAGTGCTGGGATGAAAGGTGTGCACCATAATACCTGGCTTGTTTGGGATTTTTAATCAATTGTTTCTTTTTTTATTTATTTGGGTTTTATTTGTTTGTTTGTTTGTTTGTTTTTTTGGTTTCCTGTGTAGCTTTTAAGACTGTCCTGGAACTAGTTCTTATAGACCAGGCTGGTTTTGAACTCACAGAGATCCTCCTGTCCCTGCCTCCCGAGTGCTGTATTTGGTTTTTTGACATAGGGTTTTACATAGCTCAAACTGGCTTCAAACTCAGGATTTAACTGCCAATGACCTTGAACTCTTGGTCCTCCTATCTCTACTTGTTGAATGCTGGTTTTATAAGCTTGTGCCACCATGATGGGGTATGTTTTATTTGTTTTTGAGAAAGACTCTACTCCATGTTGTCTAGGATGGTTTTGAATTCACAATCCTCCATCCTCAGCCTCCTGAATGCTGGGATTACAGGCATATTGCCACCATGCCCAGTTGAAAAGAGTTTTTATAAAGTGTGAGGCGCTATATAAATAAGAACTATTATCCCAAAGACAAGGCTCCCCTAGCATCTTTATCATACTGTGGGATATATCTCCCTAGAGACAGGAACTTGTGAAGGTCTAGGATAGAAGGGCCTCTGTGTAAGTGTTCATAGCACGGCCTGCCTGGGTTAGAGAAGTAAGGACCAACTAAAGCAGGGCTGGAAGGTGACATGAGCGACAGAGCAGGGCAGAGAGACTCAGCCCCCTGTCTTTCCCAACTAGTTTAGTCAATGGAGGGAAAATGCCTGCTGCTCAGTCAACACCAGCCAGGAGATACACAAAGACAACTCCTGTCTGTACAACTTCAACTGGGATCATTGTGGCAAGATGACACCTGCCTGCAAGTGTCATTTCATCCAAGACACCTGTCTGTATGAGTGCTCCCCTAACCTGGGGCCTTGGATCCAGCAGGTATGGGTACTTCCCTCACACTTCAGGAAGGCTACCCTTGGGATCAGTCTCTTTGCAGCTATGGCTGCCAACATCCCCTCTACCCAGGTAGACCAGAGCTGACATAAAGAGCGTAAAGAGCGTTTCCTGGACTGTCAGGAGTGGTGGGAAGCCTGTCCTACCTCCTCTAGGTGCAAGACAGACTGGCATAAAGGCTGGGACTGGCCCTCAGGTAAGGGCCTAGAGGTAGAAAGATGGAATTAGGGTTTAAAGATTTCTGGGGTGCGATTTGACCCTAGGGCTGAATGTGTGTGCTATCTTGATTCTGCCTGCAAGCATTAGTAAATGCCTGGACACAGCAGCCTGTCACACATTTCAGTACTACTTCCCCACACCAGCCAGCCTTTGTGAGGGTCTCTGGAGTCACTCTTACAAGGTCAGCAACTACAGCAGAGGGAGTGGCCGCTGCATCCAGATGTGGTTTGGCTCAACCCAGGGCAATCCCAATGAGGTGGTGAAATTCTATGCTGCCCTTGTGACAGCTGGGGCTGTTTGCCATTCAGTGGCACTTCTTGTGCTCAGCCTGGCCCAATGCTGTCATTATGGCTCCTTGACTGAGGTCAGACTTCTCTCTATAGACTTCTCTATCTATCTGAAGCTGGGCCTCAGTGCAGTTCTTTTAAGAACATGGAAGTCTTAAGCCTGCTTCCATACCACTCCTTGTCATCTAGTTCCTGATCCATGATGGGGCTTGGGGTTCATACAACAGTCATTTCTAATAAATCTGTAACACATCTGGGTCTAATGAATTGTAGGCACTGTGAGTTTGTGGGTGGGTGATCATTTTGGATCAGAGCAAATAGAGTGTTTCAATACCCCTTGTCAGGAGGAGGTGGATGAACTAAGTGTCTACACATTAGTAGTCTGTAGAAATCTAGTTGCTTCTGAGGCAGATCCAAGGATTTCTTATTCACATGGTTCCCAAACATCCCATCGTGGTCTGAGAATGTAACTCAATTGGAAGAGTGCTTGTCTAGCATAGGGAGACTCTAGGTTCTGTCCTAAGGGGTGTTGGCACAGGCCTGTGATCTCAGCACTTGGGAGGAAGAAGCAGGAGGATAAGAAGTTCAGTGTCATCGTTGGCTCCACACAGAGTTTGAGACCAACATGGACTGACCATAAGACACAGTCTCCAACGAAAATAAAAACACATCCCTTAGCTGGGCTGTGGTAGCCCATGCTTTTAATCCTAGCATTTGGGAGGCAGAGACAGGCAGATCTCTTCGAGTTCAAGGCCAGCCTGGTCTATAGAGCTAGTTCCAGGACAGGCTCCAAAGCAATACAGAGAAACCCTGTCTCAAACAAACAAACCCGAAATATCCCCCTTCTTCTCACTGTGAGTCTGTTTAGCTCAGTACTCAGCTTTCAATGGGAAAGCTGGACATGGAGTTCAGCAAAGGTTCTGGAGAAATGGGGAAGATTCACACTGCCTACCATGATGTGGACAGACTGGGCTTGGGCCCCTCAGGAGAGGAAGAGAGTCCATTAAGACAATCTGGAAGACACAGAAGAAATGCATTTGGCTCAGTGCTGTGTCCTACATCAGATGATGCTGAAGGTAGGAAACTTTTACAGGTTTCCCAGAGGCAGAAGCAGCCTCTGTTCTCCGTTTCAATTACATTTGTATTTATTCTGGGTGTGTGCACAAGAGTGCATGGATGCCTTGACACAGCTGTGAAGTCAGGACATGAGGGAGCTCTCTCTTTCCACCATGTGGGCCTCTGGGATTCAATTCCTCAGCCTGGGCAAAAGCACCTCTTCTGGCTAAGTCATCTCACCCCAAAGACCCATTCTTAGGCATATCTATCCTCTCATGGAGCTATAAATACATTGATTTTGGAGGGTTGTTACAGTTTTTTCTCCTCCTCCTTGTTCTCCTTTCTTGTGGCTGGATTGCCTGTGTAGTTTTGGGTGGTCTAGAACTCTAGTATTGATCTTGCTTCTTCTGCCTGCTGAGGGCTGAGATTACAAGCATGGGCAAGTAAGACCCCCTGCTTGCTTAGTCATTGTACACCTCCAGGATCTGGGCTTGAGTTAATTTCTGGGTCTCCAGTGCCCTTCCTTCCTCACCTGGGGACTTCTCTGTCTCCACATCCCTACCACGGTTACCCTTGGCACAAGTCTGAGACCAATACATCAGTAGCTGGGGCTAGAGCCTAAACTGCTGATCTAGGTCTCTGCCCACAACACCAGGATGTCCCCTGACAAGAAGCACACCTAAGTCCCTCGTGCCAAAAGGGCAGGAGGATTTAGGTACAGACTGGAGGATGAACTTTTCTATTTAAGGCCTGGCAGGACCAGAGAAACAGGTAGGTGGGTAGAGGATCTCTGTTACTGTATTAATCTGATCTGGAAGATCCCTGTAGACCGCCTCTTTACGTCTTAGGCTTGGTTCCAGTTGGATTAAGCGAACGCACCTGTGAAACAGAGGAAACTCCTCAGGGCTGACCCCAGGCTCCGTCAACAGGTTCGATTTACCAAAGCGAAAGTTCTCTCCTAGGTTTAAAGGGATGCATTGACAGTCTCCCAGGAGTTGGCGGCTGTAGGCGAACGGCTAGAGGCCTGCGCCTTTAAGGAACCAAGGGGCAGAGGGGCGGGGCAGGAAGAGAAATCCCTGGAGACGCCGCCACCATCCAGGTCTTTTTTTAGGGGGAAATGGGGCGGACCAGAGTCTCGTTTGGGTTCCGCCCCATCTTCTCCCGCCGCTCCCCCTTTTCTCCCCCTGGGGGTGGGTGGATGGGAGGTCGTAGCAACCCGGGTCTCCCGAGCTCCCTGCTCGCACCTGGCCCACCGAGTCGCAAGTTTGTTGACTTGGAGGGAGTAGCCGGGGCGGGGGCGGTGCTAATAATACCCGTTCATTCCCCAGTCGCGCTTTACAGTTTACACAGCTGTCACCTTCTTTACTCCTTAATTAATAATAAAAATAGCCGCCGTCCGAGAGCGCCCGCAGCATGCCAGGCCCCGAGCTTTACAGGCAGAGTGCGCCCTCATAACGTTACCCCAGTTGTCGAGAGCGGGAAGCTCAGACGCAGGGACGAGCCAAGACTGGCCCGAGGTCACTCTGCGGGCGTGCGGCGCGGGGACCCGTACGCGGGCGGGCGAGGCGGGACGCGGGGCAGCCCCGGCTCCGGGGGCGGGGCTCGGGCGGGGCGGAAGGCGCGGGGTGCGCGGTGGCGGCGGATGGCCATCTTAAGTGGCCGCGGGGAGTCCAGAACGGCTTTCCCCGGCTAGGAGTCACCGGAGTCGCCCCAGAGGTGGAGCCTGCGCGCGGCGGCTGAGGCACTGGGACTTGAGGGAACTTTTTTTTTTTTTTTTTTTTTTTTAGAGGTTCTAGGGGATCCTCCTGGTCTGTAACTGCAGAACCTTGGCCTATGGGTGTGGGGCGTGGTGCCAGGAACTTGGTGGAGATGGGGGAAGGGTTCTGCTAGGTTGCCTGCGGGGACCGGTGCGTGAGAGACTCGAGTATATTGGACCTCGTGCATGTGTATGTCTGTGTGTGTGTGGGGGGGAGGTATGGGGTATCGGATCTCATTGAATGGGGACTTGTGGGATGTGTCAGGGATCGGAGTTTGGGGGTTCAGGTCTAAAGGGGCCCTGATCTTACAAGAGTTGGGGGAACTTGTTTGCTTGAGGATGAGATTATTTGTTGGGGAGGTTTACCCTGGAACCTTCCTTTAAGAACCCTGATCTCGCAAAACTGGGGGGGGGGCGGAATAGAAAGGTTGTGTAGTAGAATTAGGCTTTTTTAGGGATTAGGGGTCATTTCATTGCGAATCGTTGGGAGGGTTGAATTCACCAGGGAGAGCTGGGACTCTCTGATTGTCCAGGAGCGGGTACGGGGAACTGGATCTTCTTGAGGTGGGGGACAAGATAATTGCGGGGCTTAGCGAGTCTGTAGGACAGTGGGGGCATCGTTCTTGCTGAGAGGTTGGGGGCAGGGGCGGCCCGGGACCTGGGCCGAGTAGAGGGGGAGGGGACCGGCCAGCTTCTAGCTTCGCTCCTGCCCCTCCCCCGCCGCCTCTGAACAAACTTTTCTTTCTCTTCAAGTTGGGGCCGGCGCTGCTGGCGGCGGCGGCTACGCGGAGATCGAGGCGGCCGGTACGACCGGGCGTGGAGCCCCGATCTGGGACTCGCTCGGGCTAGTTGGTTCTCAGGCCCGGGACCCAGGCACGGCCCCAGCTAGACTCCAAGCTTTCCCGGGCGGATGGCGCGGGGCGGCAGGCATCGGCGGCCCTGAGCCCTAGGCGGGCCATGGCCTCTGTGTGTGGGGCGCCAGGTCCCGGGGGCGCGCTAGGCAGCCCGGCCCCTGCCTGGTATCACCGCGATCTGAGCCGAGCTGCTGCGGAGGAGCTGCTGGCTCGGGCGGGCCGCGATGGCAGCTTCCTGGTGCGAGACAGTGAGAGCGTGGCGGGGGCCTTCGCACTCTGCGTCCTGTGAGTAGGGCCGGTGCACGCCGAAGTGTTCCTTGGTGGTGGTGGTAATCGTGGTAGTGGGGTGACTGAAGCTTTGGGGCTGTAGCCCCGCCTCCAACCCCTGAGTGGAGACCTTGACTTTATCTCTGGGTGGAGGAAGGATACAGGGAAGCACTTCCTGCTGTCTGGGAGAATTTTCTGGGGCCGGAGGCCAGAGTTCTTAAGCCCGGGGTGGATGTGATGGGAAGAAACGCTGGCAGATTGTGGCAGACCTGCTTAGACTTCCCGGGGCCCCAGATGCACAGGGGGGGAAGGATGTATGCATGTTCCACATGGCTTGCAATTCTTTTAAAAGCACTTAGTGGTAGGCAGTAGGGGACCGGTTTTTGGATGCCTAGCAATTCCTTAGGAAGTTTTTGGCTATATATGGTTGTGGGGTAGGGTGGAATAGTGGGTGTTGAGAGACAGACTTGGGAAGGCAGGCGGGTGAAGCTGTGTGGGACAGCACCATCATTTAATGAATCAACGAGTGAATCTTGGCTTTGGGTTGAGCTCTGGTTATGTGGCCATGAATGAGTGCTGAGTGTAAAGCTAGATTTGGCAGTCTTTTGAGTGGGCCTGGTCCTGTGGTAGTACCTGGCAGCTGTGTGTGGTAGTAGTGTACTTTCTGTTTTGCAGTGTTGTTTTGTTTTTGTTTTTTTGAGACAGAGTTTCTCTGTGTAGCCTTGGCTGTCTTGGAACTCACGTTGTAGATTAGGCTGGCCTCGAACTCACAGAGATCCACCTGCCTCTGTCTCCTGAGTGCTGTCCTGTACTCCCTGCCCCACAGGTCAATACTGAGTGGGCCTCTGTAGAAAGCATCAGGCACCACTGTGTTGAGCTCTAGTGAGAATACTCTCAAACCTTCAAACTTGGTTTCCTCTGTCCTGTTTTCTCCTCTTCTGACATCTTTGGGAATACAGTGGCCCATCCTACAGGGAACATTTCTGATTATCACATTTGGGATGGGGCTGTGGGTATTTATTGGATAGAAGCCAGAGATACTGTTACATATCTGACAGTACCTAAGACAACAAAGGATTATGGGATTCCAAAGGCTAGTAGTGTGGACACTGATAACTCTGACCTTGACAGTCAACCTGCCGAGTGAGGGGTCCTGTGAACCTCAGTTTTTGTAACAAGTCAGAGGCCCACTCTGTGTGGAGAGACTAAAACCAGACATCTTATGCCCATGAAAATCCCAAGAGCCCTGCCTCCTAGCCACCTCTAAACAGATCCCTTAATTAGGGATGGGACAGGGGCAGGTGCTGGATCAGCTGTCTGAGTGGGAGGGGGACAGCTGGGGCCCTTGTCTGGGTGAGGAACTATTGTCCTAATAGAGATCCTGGTTCCATTGTCAGGAGAAGGCATTTGGGGGTGTAGGGGTGTGTGTGTGTGTGTGTGTGTGTGTGTGTGTGTGTGTGTTTCAGCTTTCAGGGGCTTGGCAGAAGGGGTCAGAAGTGAGCACATTTCTTAGGCTTCCCAAATACATGCTTACCTATATACACATCATATGTACACAAATAACATTCAAGACACACCCCTGCCCTGACAGACAGACTGGCTTCTGCCCTGGTTTTAGATACTAACCAGTACTGCCTTTTATTTGTTCTGTGACCTTGGGCAAATAATTTTTTCCTTTTGAGCCCCAGTTTTTTCATCTGGAGAATGGAAATATGAATCTCTGCTTTACACAATGTGAATATGAAATGAGCTGTGTAGATGCATAACACAGTCAGGGTCTGGTTACTGGGATGCTATTATTCAGACACCACAAAGTAATCTCCACTGACTAAGGTAGGGCTAGCTAGGGAGAAAATGACCTTGTGGTGTTTGGTCCTCTCTGGAGCCAGCACCCATTTCCACCCAGCATAGATAAGAGACCCCAGTACCTCTTTGAGGTGTGGAGGCCAAGGGAGCCTTCCATCCCCCACTTAGTCTATGCCTGGCTCAGCTGTCACCTGCTCAGCTGCTGCTGCCATCTGCCAGCACCCCTCTTGGCTTGGGGTTCCTAGATGTTGAATCTCCCATAGGGGGATCCCCTTTGGGTCATTCCAGTTTCCTGATGCCTGAGAAGGAGAGAAAGTAAAGCCCTAGGTTGCTGACCCTACAATCCCCTGTAAAACTAACTGCCCCTGGCACACCCAGTTCCAATGGAGCCAGACACTAGCATAAACAGACAGAGCCTTACACGTGTGTTAGCACGTTGCCCATGAATGCAAATAGGAGCTAGTCAGGCTTCTGAGGACTTTTATTCTGGCGGGGGGCCCAGACTGGTACCATAGCCCAGAGGGGCTGTTTAGACAGCTGTAGAGGCCACAAAAGAGCTGCCTGTTGCTTCTTAGGCTCTGCGGTGGGCGGGTGTGGAGGCTATGTAGGTCTGAGAGTGGGGAGGGGGGCCTGGTTATTCCTGTTCTTGTTGGCAATACTAAGGGTAGAAGGTGGCTGACTGCCCCATCATTAACCCTGTGCAGCCTGGACAAGTGGTTTTAGACAGTCCAAGCTGAAAGGGCCAGAGGTTGAGCCTGGTATCAGGAGTAAGTAGGAAGAAGAGATTGTTGGTATTCAGATCCCAGCCTGGAGGTGACAGGTTCTGGTTCCTGCTTTACTCTAGGTATCAAAAGCATGTCCACACATATCGTATTCTGCCTGATGGAGAGGACTTCCTGGCTGTGCAGGTAGGAGCTCAGACTTGTGATCTTTAACTTTGATTTAGCCTCAGGCTTGGGGACCATCTGGCTGACACTGCCATCCTTTTTGCTTCAGACCTCACAGGGTGTTCCTGTGCGCCGCTTCCAGACCCTGGGCGAACTTATAGGCCTGTATGCTCAACCCAACCAGGGTCTTGTTTGTGCCCTGCTGCTGCCTGTAGAGGGAGAGAGAGAGCCAGACCCACCCGATGACCGAGATGCCTCAGGTATTGTTCATCTTACAGCATGAAAAATCCCTTCCTCAGGCTGGGGAGATGGCTCAATGGGTAAAGCCCTGACCGCCAGGGTAAGAGTGGAGTTCAGATCCCCAGAACCCACACGAAAGGTGTGTAAGTGTGGTGGCCTTGGGCAGGGAATCCCTCAATATGTAAATAAGGTGAAGTGTGATGGAGGAAGCCATTCAACATTAGTCTCAAGCCTAGACACACACACACACACACACACACAAACAAACACACACACAGATGACTCCATGCCAACATGTATTCACATATTTGCATAGCACACATACATATATACTTAAAGAAGAAAAGAAAATCCCTTCCTTGCCAGGCCCTTGACTGTCCCTGTTTCTTCCCATCCCACGTCCCTGAAGTCTCACTTTTCCCATAACCATGGTGCAGCACTCTGTACCCTCTTGTCTGTGGAAGTCTCTGACAGCTATGGCACATCCCTGTCACATATCACGGAATTGAAACTGCTATCCCTGTTCCCTGTCCACAGATGTGGAGGATGAGAAGCCCCCACTACCCCCGCGCTCTGGCTCTACCAGCATTTCTGCCCCTGTGGGGCCCAGCAGCTCCCTGCAACCCTCTGAGACTCCTACAACTCCAGTAGCTGAGAGGTGAGAGCCTCCTAACCCCATCTGCTGAGCAGTAAGTCCCTTCTCTGAGACCTGCTTCCCCATTTGGCTGTCTAAGCCCCCTTCCTAGGAACCTCATCCCATCTCAACTCCAGAGACAGAAACTCGGGCATATTCCACTCTGATTGCCTGTGACAGTCAGCAGGACCCTCCTCTGACTCTTTCTCTCTCCCGGAAGCACTCCCAATGGACTCAGCACCGTGTCCCATGAATATCTGAAGGGCAGCTACGGGCTGGACCTGGAGGCTGTGCGAGGCGGAGCCAGCAGCTTGCCCCACCTCACCCGTACTCTTGTCACCTCATGCCGAAGGCTGCACAGGTACTTGGGATGGCTGAGCCCACATGTCACACTCCAGTCCTGACTTCCTCCCCTGTACCCTGTTAGTATATACTAAAGATGAAAGTGCCATGTTCCCTGGGCGAAGGTCAGGGTAGGATTCTCACCCCTCTGTCTCCTCTAGTGAGGTGGACAAGGTCCTGTCAGGCCTGGAGATCCTGTCAAAGGTGTTTGACCAGCAGAGCTCGCCCATGGTGACCCGCCTTTTGCAGCAGCAGGTGGGATTACAGGGAGGCCTCCAGCAAGTGGGACATACCTTGGAGCTGGGGGTGGGGGCTTCTGCTTAGGAACCTTGTTTATCACCCTTACTTTTTCCCCTCAGAGCTTACCACAGACTGGAGAGCAAGAGCTGGAGAGCCTTGTACTGAAGCTGTCTGTGCTAAAGGACTTCCTGTCAGGCATCCAGAAGAAGGTGGACTGACCCGCCCTTACCTGCCCCTGTACTCAGTGTTGGTGGAGCTCCGCCCTGTACATCCCTCAGCATGCCCCTTTGCCTCACCTTTTCCCTACCCCCTCCAGGCCCTAAAGGCACTGCAGGATATGAGCTCCACAGCACCCCCTGCTCCACTGCAGCCTTCCACACGAAAGGCCAAGACCATCCCTGTGCAGGCCTTTGAGGTACATGGCAGGTGGGGCCTCACAGGGCAAAAGGTGGCTGGAGGCAAAAGGGGTACCTCCTGTCTAAGGTCTTGGCGGCAGCCTTTCCACTCCCGTCTTACAGGTGAAGCTGGATGTGACACTGGGTGACCTGACCAAGATTGGGAAGTCCCAGAAGTTCACACTGAGCGTGGATGTGGAGGGTGGGAGGCTGGTGCTGTTGAGGAGACAGCGAGACTCCCAGGAGGATTGGACGACCTTCACATATGACCGAAGTGAGCTGGGGCCAGAGTCTGGAGACTCGGGCAGTTTGATAGCATAAGTCTGTGTGGCTGACTCCCCTTTCATTCCCCTAGTCCGCCAGCTCATCAAATCCCAGCGTGTGCAGAACAAGCTGGGTGTTGTGTTTGAAAAGGAGAAAGATCGGACCCAGCGCAAGGACTTCATCTTTGTCAGTGCCCGGGTGAGTTGCAGCCTGTGTCAGGATATTGGGGCCTGCTGGAGTCCCCCGAGGATACTTCCTATTGGAACATGAGGTGTGGGCCTGTCATTTTTGACAGGGTATGTATTGAGGGTAGACAGCCTAATATTGGATTCAAATACTCATTTTTGAGCAATATTCAGTAAGTGTTTCTTAGCGCTTTCATAGTGTGTATACAGTGGGGAACCTCAGGCATGACTCTTCTCTCATGATACCTGCCACAAAGCAGGGTGTCCCTGTGGAAAGGTAAGATTGCTGAGTGCTTACTGTCTCTGACTGGCTGCTCCAACCCCCTCTCCCCCATTAGAAGCGAGAAGCCTTCTGCCAGCTTCTGCAGCTCATGAAGAATAAGCATTCCAAGCAAGATGAACCGGACATGATCTCTGTCTTCATAGGCACCTGGAACATGGGTCAGGCCCAGGGGTTATGGTGGGGGAGGAGGCTGGCCCAAGACTGGGACGTGACCTACCCCTCTAATTCCTGATGCCTCCCCTCCGCCTCCAGGAAGTGTACCACCTCCAAAAAATGTGACATCTTGGTTCACATCAAAGGGGCTGGGGAAAGCCCTGGATGAGGTCACAGTCACTATACCCCACGATATCTATGTCTTTGGGACCCAGGAGAACTCAGTGGGTGACAGAGAGTGGCTGGATCTGCTTCGTGGGGGCCTCAAGGAGCTTACAGATCTGGATTACCGTCCGGTGAGGGGGTTATCTTTCCTGGTCTCTTGTTCTCACAGACCTTGTGTTTTCTGTTTGATTTCACGGCTGGCCCTGGGGAGTACTGTTCACATGACTTTCCCTCTAAGCCCTGATGTTTCCTTTGGGAGTCTGAACTTGAATTTTATGAGTTATTCATGCCACAGGAAGGGATGCTCTTCTTGTTTACTCTGGAAAGGGATAGCAAGCCTTCCTGGCCTGTGACTGACAGGACAGTGTAGATGACAGGCTGTGGGGAATTCAGGCAGGGACCTTGGTGTGAGGCAAGGATGACCCCACACTCTCTGCACAGATTGCCATGCAGTCACTGTGGAACATCAAGGTGGCAGTGCTAGTCAAGCCAGAACACGAGAACCGCATCAGCCATGTCAGTACGTCCAGTGTGAAGACTGGAATCGCCAACACCCTGGGTGAGCGGGGAAGTTGGGCCCCTGAGGGTGACATGCTTCTATTCATGCCTACTGCCACTTCTCCAAGGTCCTCCCACTTTGCATGGTTTCAGTTTTCTCATATATGGGATACTTTGAACTTTGTGTGTGTTCTCATCTTAAATCTCTTCCAGCCCCAAGGGAAACCCCTAGCAAAGGTGTGTGTGTGTGGTGTGTGTGTGTGTGTGTGTCTGTTCTGGGGAAGGAAGGATGCTGACTGTGCTGCTTGGAGGGATAGAGGACAGTTGGGATTCCTCTTTAGGTGACCCTCCTTCTTTTTCCTGTCCTGATAGGAAACAAGGGAGCTGTGGGTGTTTCCTTCATGTTCAATGGCACCTCATTTGGCTTCGTTAATTGCCATCTCACCTCAGGAAATGAGAAGACTACTCGGTGAGAGATGCCTTTCTCATGTCTTTTCTTATCCTCCATTTTCTTGAGATATCCATTCCTTTTCCCATTGCCCAGGCCTTGACTTCCTACTGTCTCCAGACACCCTCCCGTCCATCTTCTCAGGGCCTCTCTTGTCTATATGCTTGACCGTGAGCTTGCCCCTACCTGCTTTCTCTTCTCTAGGGACCCTCAACCTTGCCCATCCCTGACCCCCAAAGACTTCTCACCTTTGTGTCGTCCCTCCTTCCTGACCCTGAATATCTGCTCTGGCCCCTCCACTGTAGGCGGAACCAGAACTATTTAGACATTCTGCGTCTGCTCTCGTTGGGTGATCGGCAGCTCAGTGCCTTTGACATCTCTCTGCGATTCACTCATCTCTTCTGGTTTGGGGACCTTAACTACCGCTTAGACATGGATATCCAGGTGCCAGCAGGGCTTGGTGGGTGGCTATAAAGGAGGGCATTAGGAGGGGAGGCTTGCATCGTTTTTTTCAAGAGGTGAGCCTCTGGCCTTCGTATCTGCACCCCAGGAGATCCTGAACTACATTAGTAGGAGAGAGTTTGAGCCCCTGCTCAGGGTGGACCAGCTCAACCTGGAGCGAGAAAAGCACAAGGTTTTCCTTCGATTCAGTGAGTGAGGGCCTGGCAGTGTTCAGTGATGATTGTGGGGCTTGGAATATGCCTGGGTCTTTGGAGCCCTGGACTTCATGTGTCCTCTGCTCTTCAGGTGAGGAAGAGATATCTTTCCCACCCACCTACCGCTATGAGCGGGGTTCCAGGGACACATATGCTTGGCACAAGCAGAAGCCAACTGGGGTGAGTGAAAAATCCTCTTTCTGGTTTCAGGGAGTTAGGAGGTGGGGTGCCAAAGATCTGAGTCTCTGCAATTACTACTTCAGTTTATATGGCTTCCCTGAGGCCTTTGGGGGTGATGTTAGCTATTTTGGGAATCCAAGGAAGAAGGCAGGTGGTGGGTCCAGTAATAAAAGAGACTCCCAGCTGACGGGACTGACCCATTGCCCCTCCTGTCACAGGTCCGGACCAATGTGCCTTCGTGGTGTGACCGGATTCTATGGAAATCCTATCCTGAAACCCACATCATTTGCAATTCCTATGGTCAGGGCCTTGGGAAAGGATGATGGGAGACACTGGGTGCTCACTGTCCTCCCTTAGCCCTCCTTTGGGAAGTGGTGCAGAGAGCAGGGACAGTTCTCTTGAGCCCCCATTCCTGTCCCCTAAACAGGCTGCACCGATGACATTGTCACCAGCGACCATTCTCCTGTGTTTGGGACATTTGAGGTTGGAGTTACTTCCCAGTTCATCTCCAAGAAAGGTGCCTGTCCTGATGTGGAGATGTGTGGGAGGGCGCATTCAGTGGCCTAGGGATGTGATGGGTTTGACTGACCACACACACACACGTTTGGGTGTGTGTTTGTGTGAATGCAGGAGTATTTCTGAATCTATGATATGTGGGGCTGTCTGAGCTTAGTTCATCGTTAGAATTGTGAAATACCTTTGTGTCTGTATCTGTCACACATGTGTTTTGAGTATGGCTGTAAATGTGGCATCGTGTTGGCAGATAAGCCTAGAAGCACTCTGGTCCCCATGCCTTCTGACATGAACCTTTCGTACTTGGCATGGCTTTCTGCCCTGGTTTGGGTTTGTAGGACCCTCGGGGGGGGGGGGGGGGCTCTTTTTTGCCTCATCTTCAGATCTGCCAGGGCCCCTGATTTTCTGTCCTAAGCTCAGCATCCTGACCCTTTTGCTTACAGTGCTTTCCATGTTCCCTCAGGGCTCTCTAAGACCTCAGACCAGGCCTACATTGAGTTTGAGAGCATTGAGGCCATTGTGAAGACAGCCAGCCGCACCAAGTTCTTCATTGAGTTCTATTCTACCTGCTTGGAAGGTCAGAGGGGGCCATAGCTGGCTGTGGGCCAAGAGAGAGTGGGATGCCAAAGGCTGCTCAGAGTGGTCAGCCCCTCAGCTGGGTCCTCCCACCTTCACCCCAGAGTACAAGAAGAGCTTCGAGAATGATGCTCAGAGCAGTGACAACATCAATTTCCTCAAAGTGCAGTGGTCCTCCCGCCAACTGCCCACGGTGAGGCTGTAGGAAGGGCCCAGACTTATAGATGGAGGGGTATAGAGAGCAAGAGGCAGGGCACACTGTGGGGCTCCTTGGGAGGGAGAGCGAGGATGGAGGGTGTGTGTGTGTGTGTGTGTGTGTGTGTGTGTGTGTGTGTGTATACTTTTGTACACAAGGATAAAGACAGTTACATCTTTTGGAGCTGTAGAACCAAGTTGTAGTTTGTTTATTCGTTTGTTTAATAAATGCTTCCTGAACCTTTGATAAATGGCTAGTATTGTCCATTGATGGCATAGAAAATTAATTAATTATAGTGACGTTAAAAGCTATGAAAGGCCATGCAGGGCTGTCTTTAAGAGTGAGCATGGGGGGCTGGAGAGATGGCTCAGTGGTTAAGAGTACTGGCTGCTCTTCTAGAGGTCCCTGAGTTCAATTTCCAGCAACCACATGATGGCTCACAACCATCTATAATGAGATCTGGTACTCTCTTCTGGCCTGCAGGATACATGCATAATAAATAAATAAATAATCTAAATAGATAAATAAAAATCTTAACAACAATAACAAAAGAGTGAGTATGAACAAGCCTTAGGGCAAGGGGTGAGTGGGGCCAGGATCAATGTGGGAAGGGCGTGATGGGATATTTAGGGTATTGCTCCTCACTGGGCTTCTTTGTTCCTCAGCTTAAGCCAATTCTGGCTGATATTGAGTACCTTCAGGACCAGCATCTCCTGCTCACAGTCAAGTCCATGGATGGCTATGAATCCTATGGTGAGGGACAAGAAGTACCCAGGGGTACAGGAAAGCAGGTAGCACCATAGAAAGGTCTGGCAATTTGCTGGTCTGTTGTATCTACTCCTTAGGGGAGTGCGTGGTTGCACTCAAATCCATGATTGGCAGCACGGCCCAGCAGTTCCTGACCTTCCTGTCCCACCGTGGAGAGGAGACAGGCAACATCCGTGGCTCCATGAAGGTGCGGGTGCCCACAGAGCGCCTGGGCACCCGTGAGCGGCTCTATGGTGGGGGCTCCATTGGGCAGGGTGTGGGGCATATGATGTGGTAGTGTGGGCCAGGTGTAGGAGGGGCAGACCCAGGGTGGCAGCATGCTGGAATCCTGTGGTACTAGAAGCTATGACTGAGTGGGTCTACCCTGAGGGATAGCTGGGAAGGGACTAGATATCCCCAGTGCCCATTAATATCCATAGGATCCAGGACCCCAAGTCCTTGCTAAGTTTCCCTTCTCTGTTCTTCCCCAGAATGGATCAGCATTGATAAGGATGAGACAGGAGCCAAAAGCAAGGCTCCTTCAGTATCCCGAGGCAGCCAGGAACACAGGTGAGCTAGGGTTATGTTGAGTATCACGAGAATGGATACTTGGGAGCTTCTGGTCACCTCCACATTTTCCCTCTGTTCTGCACTCCTGGCAGATCTGGGAGCCGCAAGCCAACTTCCACAGAGGCCCCCTGTCCACTGTCCAAGTTGTTTGAAGAGTCTGAAAAGCCACCACCTACTGGCAGGCCCCCAGCCCCACCCCGGGCAGCCCCTAGGGAGGAGCCTTTGAACCCCAGGTGAGAGGTGAAACTTGCTATTCCCTAACTCTTTCCATTACTATGCCTGGCTCTCAGGCTCAGCCAGGTGATGGTCTGCTGTTTGAGTGCTCTGACACCTCAGGTGACAGTGGCCAGCCAGGTCTCCTTAAGTGTAGCTCAAGTCAGAAGGAGCACAGTGTTTTTTCTCAATTCTGTAGAAATTGGTTCTATAGCTAGGGCAAGGTACCAAGGCCTGTAATCCCAGTATTTGGGAGATGGGGCAGGGGGATTAGGTGTTCACAGTCATTTTCAGCTACAAATGCAACAACCAAAACAAAGCACACAAACAAAAACAGACACAGCTTGAAGTTGTTTGGAGAAGGCCCAGGCTCACCTTGAGGTTTCTCAGGGTCCACCCTGTGAGGCTGCACCTAACAAAAGGCCCCACGGGGAATAGGTTCATGGCCAAATGTTTGACAAATCCGTCCTGGTAGAGTCTTTTTTAGATGTCCATTTTTATGTATTAGGTGTTAGCAAAGATTCCAATAATGTGGATAAGAAAGAAACTTAAAGCTTGTTTAATACGTTTTCCAAACCTAATGGACCAGAAAACTTCCCACATAGCAAGGTCCTGGGTCTGGGCATCTTGGCATACATCACTCTCCCAGCATCCAAGAAGACTAAAGCAAGAAGATTGAGAATTTGAGATTAGTCTAGGCTAAATTGTGAGGTCCTGTCTAATGGGGAACTAGTGTTCCATGGGTGGAACACCAACCTGAACCTGAGTAGGATTCTGCAGAAGGACCCTCACCTGTTTCTGGAGGCTTTTCTGATCCCTTTAGTCACCCTTGTGAGAGGCTTTTATCACCCATTTGAGCTCATGTTTCAGTTATAAAATCATAAAAGAGCTGAGAATGTGAGCAAGTGAGAAAAAGGAGTCTGGGTTTTACCTTCAGTACTCCCCCTCCAATTTTAGAGATCATGAAATCTAAGGCTCAGAGTGAGCCCACTTAGCAAGGTCATGTGCAATTCAAAGACCAGGAGCCTTGTCACTTCTTTCCCAGTTCTCTCTCCCACACCCATTGCTTTTACTTTGGGTTCTGACCGTTTTTCTGCTTTCAAACTAGGCTGAAGCCGGAGGGGACAGCTGAGCTGGAAGGAGTGGCAGCCCCTCCACCCAAGAACAGCTTCAATAACCCTGCCTACTATGTCTTGGAGGGGGTCCCACATCAGCTGCTGCCCCTGGAGCCACCCTCACTTGCCAGGGCCCCTGTCCCACCTGCCACCAAGAACAAAGTGGCTATCACAGTGCCTGCTCCCCAGCTTGGGCGCCACCGGACCCCTCGTGCAGGAGAGGGAAGCTCATCGGATGAGGACTCTGGGGGCACACTGCCTCCTCCAGATTTCCCACCTCCACCACTGCCGGACTCTGCCATCTTCCTGCCCCCTAGCCTGGATCCTTTGTCAGCGCCAGTGGTCAGGGGCCGAAGTGGGGGTGAGGCCCGTGGTCCACCACCTCCCAAGGCCCATCCAAGGCCACCACTACCCCCAGGCACCTCACCTGCCAGTACTTTTTTGGGGGAGGTTGCAAGTGGGGATGACCGATCTTGTTCAGTACTGCAGATGGCCAAAACACTCAGTGAGGTAGATTATGCACCTGGGCCTGGACGCTCTGCACTCCTCCCTAGCCCCTTGGAATTGCAGCCTCCCCGAGGGCCTTCTGATTATGGCCGTCCCCTCAGCTTCCCACCACCCCGCATCCGAGAGAGCATCCAAGAAGACTTGGCAGAGGAGGTGTGTAGACCAGAGCTAGGTGGCTATGTGTACCTGATGGGCAGTGTTACTGCATTCTACCACTCAGAATTCACTGGTGTCCACAGCCCCCTTTGCTTGTAGCTGGGTAGTGTTCTTTTTGGGGACACGTGAATCGACTTCATTCCTTGCCTTCTTTCCCCCTTAGAGCATGGGTAGAATGTGGCTGTTTGCATGCATTTCTGTGAGAAGCCATTATTAGTTCACCCCCTAACATACCATATTCCCTTAGGCTCCGTGCCCGCAGGGCGGGCGGGCCAGCGGGCTGGGAGAGGCGGGCATGGGTGCCTGGCTGCGGGCCATCGGCTTGGAACGCTATGAGGAGGGCCTGGTGCACAATGGCTGGGACGACTTGGAGTTTCTCAGGTGGGGGCGGAGCTGGAGGTGGACAGGGCGGGGTGTCTGGCCTCAAGGGTGGGATTGCAGGGCCCTAGAACCTCTTAGCCCATCTCCCAGCTTCTTTTAACTCCTGCAGTGACATCACTGAGGAAGACTTGGAGGAAGCTGGGGTTCAGGATCCTGCTCACAAGCGCCTTCTTCTGGACACTCTGCAGCTCAGCAAGTGATAAGAGATGGCTGCAGAGCTACAGAAACAGAGCTCTTTCCTCTTTGGAAAGGGCATGTATAACCAGAGGTTGAAAAGTTCCGAGGGGCGTGGCAGTGCAACTCTGTCTATTTATTAGGGATCAGTGTTCCCTACTACCCAGTCTTTTGGCATGTTCTAATTAGGACAAAGAGCTCCCAACCTAGCTTTTAGGTCCAAGGTCGGGAGTTCAGTAGCCTGTGTTAATGAAGCACACTGGTTACTCTGGTGTGGATATTTCCCAGCCTCAGGGCTGTACGTGGGGTATAGTTGGGCACATCCTGGTTCCCACTAACACCAATGTTTCCACTTCCCTCCCTCGGACCTGAACCACAGCAAGAGTTCCTCCTTGCAACACCTACTCTGGGGATGTCCTCCGGAAATGAAGGAAGAGCCCAGAACTGGGCTGGGTTTATTTAAGTTTTTCTGTGTGGGTTTTGGGGAGGGAGGGCACATTAATTTTATTGGGGTGGGGCAGGACCTCGGCCATAAAATGGAAATTTGCCTAGTTCTGGCTGTACCTCTGGTCCATAGTGCCCTTGCCCAAGGAATGCGTGGCAGTATGCTATAGAGAGGGAAAGAGCCTCGCTGATGGCCACCGCATTGGAGGACAGGGTTTTTGCCAACAGTTTATCCTATCTTGGACACTCAGAAAGGTTGCCAGCTTGATGTCTTCAATAAATTAAGTTTTATTTGGATTGAGCAAAATCACCTTAATAAATTACAAGTTTTTTCAAAGAAAGTAAGGGGAAAGGAAATCCACTTTGTTCCGTTTCCCGACAACCCTTCCCCTCTAGTGTGTGGTATGTGTCTGCCCTCTGCGCCAGACTGGCTAGGGGTGGGAAATAGGAAACAGGAACCCTCAGGTTGCTGATTTTAAGGGGTGGCTGGCCCAGATAGCTGAAAAGCAGGATCTGTCAGTTCGGCTTCTTAGGACCCTAAATTATGACTGGGCACTGTGTTAGGGACAGGTGTAATTTGACCCCGGTTCCTAAGAAAGCCAAGCTAGAAAGGGCTTCTGACCGCCCTGAAGGGGATCCCGGTGTGAATACTCCTCTCCGCTGGGTGCGGGTGAGTGAGGACAAGAGTGGCCCTTGGTTGTTTTACAACGAAGGGGAGGCCACATCTAGGGATCAGACACTAGGCAGTGGGGGGCGACGGGGCGCTTCCAGGCAGGTGGCCAGGATAGGGAGGGACTGTCGGGTCCAGTAGGGTAGGGATGTCTCTTGGGGCAGGCTAGGTGCCTCCAGACGCCCGCGGCTAGAAGAGGTTTGTCTTCAGGGCGGGGCCCGGCTTCCGGTGAAAAGAGGACAGAACTCCAGAAAAGGGCCCGGGCCCCGGTTCCGCCGGCTGCCAAGCCTTAAGCAGCTCTGCTGCTCCTGCGCCTGGGCCGCCGCCCCCGCCGCCTGCCACCCCGGCCCACAACGCGCCCTTGAGTGGCTGGGGCCCGGGTCCCGAGCCCAGCGCGGCGGGCAGAGGGCTGGGGCTCAGGCGTGGGCTGGCCAGGCTGGGTGCGGGCGGCGGCGGCAGCGACGCTGTGCTGTCAGGCGTGGGGCTGCACGTGGACTCCTTGGAGTCGTCGTCCTCGGACGAGCAGCGCGCCTCGCCCTTTTTGGCTCCCGTCGCTCCCGCTGCGCCTTTGGCGCTGGCCGCGCGCTCCTGTTTGCGGAACTTGGCCCGGCGGTTCTGGAACCAGACCTGTGGGCACAAGGGCCAGTCAACCCAGAGGACGGTCACCAGGAGCACTTCAGCCCGGGGTTGCTAGGCGTGTGTGAGACCTCGGTCCAGAAAGGATCGGTCTCGGATTATTAACCAGTCGGAGGTTCACAGCCTTCCGCCCTCCACCATTCCACTCGGCGCCCCATCCATTCTTCCCGCCTCTGGTGCCCCTTCCTCCAGGCCCTTAGGTTTTTGTTTTTAGAATCTGCTCACCCGCAGACCCCGCTGCCTCCCTGTAATTTTGTCTTCTGGAAGGGGCTCTGCTGTAAGTCTTATCACCCTAAGCATAACTTTTTAGAAAGCATTCACCTGGAGCATTCTAGGACAGTGAAGAGTGGGTCGGGGTACTGGGAGACTTTTGTGTAAGGTGTCCATGTCAAAAAAGGGCCAGCCGGGATTTGCACGCCCAAGTTTCTCTTGTCTGCCCTGCAGCCGCCCCAAACTTAAACTTTACTGACTCAGGAGTCCAAATTGTGACGCTGGGTCCGTCATCTAGAAGTACGGATTGGCCTGATCCTACCTGCTGTCCCCGTCAACCCAGCCGCCTTGCTTCCCGGCTTCAGAGTAAAAATTCTTAAACCTTCAATTTTGGGGTGGGGGGAGGAATGTCGAGTCGGAGGCAAATTGAAGCTACCCAGCTCTGGTCTTTGACAGCCCAAGTCCTGGCCCGCTCTCTCCGCTGGCTGCTCTGTCACACCTGAACGGTCTTGGCTTGCAAAGCTGTAGCTGTCCCTGGCTCCCAGGTGTCTAATCTCCAGCACCCTCCTCTAGCAAGCGCGTGCACAGCACGTGCGTGCATCCACGCACCTGCACGCGAGCCTCAGTGAGGTCGATCTTGAGCGCCAGTTCCTCCCGCGTGTAAATGTCGGGGTAGTGGGTTTCGGCGAAGACGCGCTCCAACTCCTTGAGCTGTGCACTCGTGAACGTTGTGCGGATACGCCGCTGCTTGCGTTTCTCATGCAGGCCCGACGGCTCCGGGAAGAACTTGTAGGGCACTGCAGGGCGGGGAGGGGGATGCGCGACGCAGGAGCAATGAAAGTGGAGTGCATGAGAAGCTGATGTCAGCCCCAAGCCCCCCCTTATCTTGCACTAGAGGAAATCACATATAACTCCCCCTCCCCACTATTTAGTCAATAGTCTCCAGCCAAGTGTCCCAAAGGCTGAGTCATTAGGGAGACCTGGGGCTTAAGTGTTCCCTAAAACAAACCAGAAGCTCCAACTAAGGGTCCGATGTCCATATTCTCTCCATCTTCTTCCAAGCCCTACCGCTCCACTGCCCTCTCCCAGCCTGCCACCTTCACGGTGGTGATTCTCCTCAGGCACCCTTCCTGTGGAAGTCCAGTTCCCCGATCACATGAGCGGGTATGTCTGCTTGATCTCATCAGCACCAAAGTCTCTCTACTAACCAATCCTGGGCCTTGGCTCTGCCTTTGAGACTCTCTTGCTAGGTCTGTCTTATCACTGACTGCTGTGTACTGATGTTTCCTGTTCTCTGCACCCCATCCGGTCTCTCTCCTCCACAAACCTCATTTCCTCAGTTTTGCTTCTCATCCCTGATTGTCATTCTTCTCCAGATATTTCCTCTCCTTGCCCTCATCTTCCTCCATCCATATCTCTTCAACTTCTCATTTCTGGGCCACTGTTCTCTTTGTACCCATTGAGAAGGTTTCTTATTCCTTCCTACCCAGATTTTTTTCTCTCTTCTTTGCTCCCTTTATCCCACTCAGTCACCTTCTCTGTGTTCCATCTACTCTAAATCCTATCCCAGCTCCCATATCCCATGCAGATACCATCTTCAAATGCCTGCTTTCAAGCCCAGCTTAAGTCTTTATATTTTCCTTGAGCTTCCCCAATCACCTTCTTTGTCCCATCTTCCCAAACCTTGTCTCCAATACTTCCTTTTTAAATCTCCCTCCAGCTTATGTCTGTTTCCACCTCTTTTGCTCCCCATCTCCCAAAATTTGTGTTCTCACCATCTATCTCTGTCTCCCAACACTGTGTACCCATTTCTCTCTCAGGGCCCCTAGTTTTGATTCTCTCTCTCTTTCTCTCTCTCTTTCTCTCTCTCTCCCTTATTCCACCTACAAACCCTTTTCTCAGGAATCTATCTCCCTATTTCCTGTTCCTATTTCTGCAATCCCCATTTTTGCCCAGTCCAGGATCGCCAATCTTCTCATTCCCCCTTTGATCTCAGATCTCAGATCTCATCTTAAATGTTTCTTATTTCCCTAAATTCAAGTACTTATTTCCCCACCAAACCCCAGTCCTCCGTTTGGGTTCCCGTGATCTTCCCAGGAGAGCAAGGGATAAGAGACGAGGAAGCCAGCGGGGTGGGGCAGAAGGAACAGGGATGCCTGAAAGGCTAAGTGACATTGAGGGTTTGGACACGGACTTGCTTGGATCAAAGGGCTAGAATGAAGGTGGAGGATCTCCTCCTGGGTTTTGCTGGCCTGTAGCGGAGGAAATGTGGAAATGAAAGTGGCTCAATGACAGAGGCTCCTTCCTTTTCTATGGCTATGGGAACGGGTCTTTGGTGGTGCCGTAAGATTTGGGCCCAGGTAGCACAGGTCTAAGGGCAAGAAGAGGCTAGAAAGATGGTATTAGGGTCCCATCTGGTCAGCCCAGCTGCAGAAGGGATATTTGCTGAGAGTGGTATGTATCATCTAGGACACAGGTGGTAAGGATGGGAGTTGACTGGACTGAGCTGGAAGGCCATTCCGAGGATACGGGCAATGGAGATGTTTGGTGGTCGCTTTTTAGGTGGGAAGCAGAGGGCCTAGCTAAAGTCCCAGGACTGGACCTGTTTCTTTGATCCGAAAGGCACAGGGTAGGAATTTGGCATGAAGAAAGAGAAATAGGAGGGACAAGAAGGTGCTGCTTATCCCTGCCAAAAAGAAACTCCTATTACTGGGGTTCTCAAAGTGCATTAGAGGATCTAGCCAGGGGCATGGATAGGAGGCAATTTGTGGGGTACAGTCACATTCACTTGCAGAGTAGGGCAGGGAGTGGGGGTTCGTGGGATTTGGAGGTAGGGTTGGGACGGGACTGCGCTCACCTGCCGAGTAGGGCGCGGGCTGGTGGTCGCGTAGGGCGCCAAGTGCACAGTTGGAGGAGCCGAGTGCGGGGCAAGGTGGCCCCGCGGCGGGGAAGGCAGGCCGCAGGGGACTGTATTGGAAGCCGCCAGGCTGGCTGCAGGCGCCGAAGTCGCCGTAGGCGGACGCCTCCATGGCCGCCACGCACGAGTCGTACGAATTGAGGTAGGAGTAGTCCATCGGCCCGAGGGGGCTGGGGCGGGGGCCGGGCCGGCCGGGTCGGGGTCGGGGTTCGGGTTGGTGGAGTTAGGGATGGGGGGATTCGAGCTCCAGGTGCAGAGGACCTGAGACCCGCTCTGAGCACCCGAGAGTCCGCCCGCCCCGTCGCAGCCCGCACTCTGCCCCGGTGCAACGCAAGTGCAGTACGGCCAGCGCGCGCGCCTTTTAACGCGCAGGACCCCGCGGAGGGGGCGGGGCGGGGCGAACTCCGCGGGGCGGGGCCTGAGCGGCCTAGACCCCGCCCCTAGCCACCTCGGGGGTGGGGGGGCACCCTAAAGGGCTCCAGCCTCCCTTCTAAGTCTCCCGAGGAGCAGGTCAGGCTGCGCCGGACCCCATTCCGAGAGTACCTTATCCTGTCCCAATCTGTCCCAGACCTTTGATCCCTACACGTCATGCCCAGCAGGAGGGTCCCGACCTGGTATCTGGGCCTCCCACCTGCGGCCCCGTGGAAGCTAGGGAGGCAGGCCCCTCGGTGCTGGTGTGAAGAAGTTAATTCAATTCTCCCAGATAACCGAATTATTCCGATCTGGCCCCTCCGCCCCGCCCCCAGCTAGGTCCTATCCCTGCGAGGACTGCAGAGGCTGCCCTGGAGTGAGGGGGATGGAGACAAGGACGAGAAAGAGACAAGAGTCTGGGAGAGAGACAGGGAGGGGACGTGGGTATGGAGAGGAGACCGAAAGAAGGGGACAGACCCCGTGATAGGGACAGGGGAAAGACAGATATATAGATGGAGACAAGGATGACACGCGTAGGAAAGAAAGGTAGTGGTGGAGATGGAGACAAGCAGAGAGAGGAGGCCAGCAGGATGGAGAAAGACAGGCGTGGAGACAGAGGGACACGGATGAACATGGACGTGGACTGCAACCAGTATTGCGATGGAGCGCGGAGACCGCTGACACAAAACAGAGCCGATCATAGTGAGGCCATACACAGGATGGTCTTAAGGCCAGAGACAGACCAGCGGAACCGAGTTTGATGAGTGGAGAGAAAGAACCTCCTGAGACCTGGGATTTGTGAGCCGGAACAGAAGGCGGCCAAGACATTATGGTGGAGGCTGTTGAGGGGGTAGCATAAGGCGAGGAAGTTGCAGGGTCGTGGTCTCCAGTGACTTGTCCTGAGGAGCCTGCACCTGCTGGGTTCAGCCCACTCCCTTCCTTCCCTGTTTCCTCGCCTATAACTTGTGACCTCTGCACCCGTGTGCTGTATGCCAGGTGTGTGTGTGTGTGTGTGTGTGTGTGTGTGTGTGTGTGTGGTGTGGTGTGTGGTGTGTGTTGGATGCCAAACCTTAAGAATATGGTAATGACTCCTTTCTGTCCTTCAGTGTCTCTCTTCTTCCCTTCAGAGGCCCTTTCCTCTGGAAAATCCTGTAGAATGACCCTCCAAGGGTTTTCACCAGCTCTCCAGGCTAGAACACATTCAGCAGCTTTACCTGGAGGATGAGCAGAAACCCCTTCTGCCTCTCTGGCTCTCCTGAAGAATGAATGGAGCCCCTCCCCCTTAGTCCCCAATCCCAAGTCTCCAGGCTTCTATACTAACTAGTTCTTGCTGACAGGAAGTCAGAGACCCCCGTTGAAGCCAGAAGAGGGCTGTGTCCTTGACACCAAAGTCCTTTGGTTAAGAGGAACACTCTTGGATTTCTCTTCTTTTATGTTTACCAGCACCGTGGGGACCACAGCCCTCAGGTCATCCACTTCCCAGTGTACTAGTTCTTTGCCTGACACACACCTCCGTTCCTGTAAGTACAATATGTCAGGAGTTTTGGGGGTATTTTCACACACCATTTTCCCCAGTTGTTGGCTGGTTGTATGCATAATCACAAATTTTTACCATCATAACTATTTTTAACTGTTTAGTTCAGTGTTGTTATTCATTATGTTAGACAGTACAGTGTCACTGCCATATTTATTTCCATAACTCTTCATCTTCTAAAATCCTAACTCCATATATGAAGCAATAGCTCTCTAATGATCCCCCCATCTTCTGGTAACTACCCTTCTGATGTCTGTCTGTCCATGTAATTTTTTGAGATAGGGTCTCATCACGCCAGGTGGCCTTGAACTCCCTGTGCAGCTAAGGATGACCGTGCATGTCTGATTCTCCTGACCCTTGCTCTGTACCAGGTATCCCATGCATGTACTACTGCACTCAGTTTTATGGGATGATCTGGAGATCAAATCCTGGGTGTCATGAACACTAGGCAAGCACTTTAACGATGAGATGCATTCCCAGCATCACCTCTGTAATTTTGAATATCCTAAATATCTTATAAAATGGAATCATACACTACCTTATTATGACAGGCTTATCTCATTGAGCATACTGTTCTCAAGTTCCATCTATGTGTGAATTTGCTTCATCTATGTCAGAATTTGCTTTCTTTAAGGTTGACTACTATTCCATTGTAATTATATACACTCTTTTTAAAAATGTATTCATTCATGGATATGTAGATTCATGTTTTAGCTGCTGTGAGTAATGCTGATATGAATGTGGGCACATAGATGTATAACTTTTGGGATGTTCTGCTTTTCATTTTTTAAAAAAATATTTATTAATTTTATTTTATTTTGGGGCTGAAGAGATGGCTCAGCAGTTAAGAGCATAGGCTTTTCTTCCAAAGGACCCAGGTTCAATTCCCAGCACCTACATGGCAGCTCACAACTGTCTGTAACTCCAGTTTTAGATGATCTGACACCCTCACAGACATACGCATACACACACACACACACACACACACACACACACGCAGCAAAGCACCAATGCACATAAAATAAAAATAAACTATTAAAATTTATTTATTTATATTTTGGTTTTTTGAGACAGGTTTCTTTGTGTAGCCTTGGTTGTCCTGGAGCTAGCTCTGTAGACCAGGCTGCCCTTGAACTCATAGAGATCCACCTGCTTCTGCCTCCCAAGTACTGGGATTAAAGGTGTGCACCACCACTGCCTGGCTGACTTATTAATTTTATTTTATGTGTGTTTTGTCTACATATATTTATACATATCACATCTGTGCCTGGTGCCTATAGAGTTTGGAATAAGGCATCAGATTTCCTGGGACTGGAGTTATGAATGGTTGTGACTTATGTGGGTGCTGGGAATGAAATGCTGGCATCTCCCCAACTCACTTTTTTTTTTTTTTTCATTTTAATCAGTCTCACTATGTTGTGCTGCTGGCTGTCCTTGAATTCAAAGAGATCTACCTGCTTCTTCCTCCCAAGTACTGGGATTAGAGGCTCTGCTTTCAAATTATTTATTTTATTTTGAATATTTATTTTTTATGTGTATGTATGTGTGTGCCTGTGTGAGTTTATGTGCATTCCATGCATGTCTGTGTGGGGATGTGCAAGTGTGATTGTAGGTGCCTGTGGGGTCCAAAGGAGAGCTTTGAATCTTTCCTTGCTGGAGTTTCAGGTTGTGAGCTTCTGTACATACATGTGTTCTAGGAACAGGCTCTCTGCAAGAATAATCAGCGCTTGGGCTGGGCAGTGGTGGCCCATGCCTTTAATCCCATCACTTGGGAGGCAGAGGCAGGTGGATCTCTGTGAATTCAAGGCCAGCCTGGTCTACACAGTGAGTGCCAGGACAGGCTCCAAAGCTACACAAAGAAATCCTGTCTTGGAAAGGAATAAAAAAGAATAATCAGCACTCTTTAGCACCAAGCTATCTCTCTAGCCCCTGTTTTTGTGTTTTTGAAATGGTGGGCTATTTAAACCCAGACTGCCTGGAAGTTACAGCAATCCTCCTGTCTCAGCCTCTCCTATGTGCCAAGATTACAGCTGTGTGCCACCATCCCCAGCTACTTTGTAGTATATTCCCAGAATTAGAATTGCTGAGTCACATGGTAATTCTATAGTGCTTTTACTTAAATTTTAAAAAGATTTATTTATTTTTTTAATGTGTATGAGTGTTCTGCCTGGACGTATGTATGTGCACGATGTGCATGGCTGGTGCCCTTGGATGCCAGAAGGCAACAGATCTCCCGGAACTGGAGTTACAGATGGTTGTGAGCCACCATGTGGGTCTGGGAAGCAAATTGGGTCCTCTGCGAGAGCAGCCAGTGCTCGTGACCACTGAGCACTCTCTCCAGCCCCTGCAGTGTTTTCGCTTCTTAAGGAACTGCTTTGCCATTGATGTCCACACCAACAGTTCTGAAGGCTCCAGTTTCTCTCCATCCGCACACATACTCATTCTTTTCTGTGTTTCTCATTACATTTTAGATTGTAGGGGTTGAGACCTGACAGTAAAGCCTCTTCAACAAGTTCTCCTCACTGGTGTGTGTGTGGCAGCCTCACTTGGACATAGCTACATATCTGAGGGGCTCAAGGACTTACAATGGGATGGGCTCGATGCTCTCTTCTGTCCTTCTATGACTTTCACTGATCAAATCCACCTGGCCCACAATATCCTGGGTGCCAGCACTCCAGCCCATCCCCATTTATCTTGCTTTTCTTCATAGCTTCATGCACACACTAATTGTTTTGCTCAGAGATGCTTTTCCTGGATGAAAAGTTCATCCCGTCCTCCTGCTTGCCCCAGTACCCAAACCTTGTATTGTTTACCCACTGACTCACCTTGGACCTTGCTAGCTTTTCTAAGCCATCTTTGGTGTTCCTGCACTAAGTTGGGTGTCTTTGCTGAGTCCTAGAGAGTCTCTGTTTCTTTGATTGCTCAGATCACCTTATTGAAGTGTTTGCAGCAGAGTGTGCTTTTAGTGCAGAACTGTGTCCTCTTGTTTATCATTGTCTCTCCAGTTCCAGCTATTTAGAAATGAATGAGACCTGCCTGCTCTTGTCTTCAGGGAAAGAGTTCTCATTGGAGATTACCACTCCACACTCTGCAGAGCTGTCCCTTTCCCTCCTGTGTCCTCCACTCCCCAGATAGAGGACAGTGCCTTCCTCCTGGGTCACCCTGAGCTGGGGAGGACACTTCTCCCTGGAGGATGTCTTTGTGAGTGCCTGTTCCTTCCCCATTGACAAGGCTGACCACCCATAGAAGCAGCTATAGCTTGTAGGACAAAGATATGAGGGAGTTTGAGAGGCCCAGTGCTGCTGAAGGTATCTAATCCAACCTGTTCACTTTTACAGTGTGGTCCTTGAGCCAGTAATACCTCCCATCCCCACCCCTATTCTGTAACACTTTTTTTTTAGAAGTTTGGTGGGGGTTTTTTTTGTTTGTTTGTTTGTTTTGTTGTTATGTCA